AGCCCTTTTTTTTTTTTTTTTTTTGTGACAGGGTCTCCCTCTGTCACCCAGGCTGGAGTGCAGTGGTGTGGTCTCAGCTCACCACATCCTCAACCTCCTGGGCTCAAGTCATCCTCCCTTCCTAGCCTCCCAAGTAGCTGGGACAACAGGCATGAGCCACCACACTCAGCTAATTTTTGCAGTTTTAATAGAGACAGGATTTCACTGTGTGACCCAGGCTGGTCTCAAACCTTTGGACTGAAGCAATCCACCTGCCTCAGCCTCCCAAAGTGCTGGGATTAGAGGTGTGAGTCACCGTGCCCAGCCAGGTTTTTTTTAAGTAAAAAATTTCCATATTCTATATTATGCCTTATTATCTGATAATATACTGCTTTGCAATTTGCTTTTTTCTCTTAATAAATCTTGAATATCTTTCTATGCCAATTCATCTATATAGCTCTACCTTATTCTTTTTGTTTTTTTTAGCCATCACGCCCAGTTAATTTTTGTATTTTTAGTAGAGGGGGGTTTCACCATGTTGGCCAGGATGGTCTTGATCTCTTGACCTCGTGATCTGCCCACCTTGGCCTCCAAAGTGCTGGGATTACAGGTGTGAGCCACCGCACCCGGCCTACCTTATTCTTTTTTTGTATTCACAAACATTTTTATATCCTTTTTTTTTTTATGGGGTCTTGTCATGTTGCCCAGGCTGGTGTTGAACTCTTGGGCTCTAGCGAAACTTCTCTCTCAGTCTCCCAAAGTGCTGAGATTACAGCACAAAATGGGCTGAGCCACCATGCCCAGCCAATTTTGTTCTTTTTTATGGCTGTGTAGTAAAAATATGGAATACTTCATGAATCTGCGTGTTATGCTTGCACAGTGGCCATGCTAATCTTCTCTGTATCATTTGCACCTGGTCTACCTCATTCTTTATAGCAGCTGTATAATACAGCACTGTATGAATGCACTATAATTTTTTTAACCAAACCAAACCTGATGTTTTCTAGATTCATTATTTAACCAAATTATCAATAAATATGGTTTCCCCATTTTTTTTCTATTAAACAGTGCCACAACAAATTCTTGAACATAGTTTCATGTTCTTAAATGATTTTGAGGATAAATTCATATATATATAAATGCTAGGCCAAAGGAGATAAACATTAAAACAATTTTATAGCCATTGACAAATTCCTAGCAATTACATTTTGAAACACCTTTTCCAGAACAGCTGAGCCTATACTGTGTGGCATCAATGTTGTTAGTCTTTGATAATCAGATAGGTAAACATATCCTGTTTAATTTGTACTTCTATAATTATTGATGTGATTCTTCATCTTTTCAGAGATGTATTGGTCATTTCAACATTTTTTCCCTACAGGTTTTTTACTCATGTCTTTTGCCTATATTTCTCTCAGTTATATGCCTTTTTCTTTCTTTAATTTTAGACTCGGGGTCCATGTGCAGGTTTTTTACATGAGTAGATTGCATGGTGGTGAGGTTTGGGCTTCTAATGATCGTGTTGCTTAAGTAGTGAACATAATACCCAATAGGTAGTGTTTCCAGCCTTTCCCCCTTTCCTTCCTCCTCCCTTTTTGAGTTCCCAATGTCTATTAGTCTTATCTTTGTGTCTGTGTGTACCCAATGTTTAGCTCTTCCTTATAAGTGAGAGCATGCAGTATATAGTTTTCTGTTTCTGTGTTAGTTTGCTTAGGATAATGTCTTCCAGCTGCAACCACATTTGTTGTTGTTGTTGTTGTTGTTTGTTTGTTTGTTTGAGACAGAGTCTTGCTCTGTCACCCAGGCTGGAGTGAAATGGCATGATCTCAGCTCAGTGCAACCTCCACGTGGTGGGGTTCAAGTGAGTCTCCTGCCTCAGCCTCCAAGTAACTGGGACTACAGGTGCTCGCCACCATGCCTGGCTAATTTTTTTTTTTTTTTTTTTGCATTTTTGGTAGAGACAGATTTCACCATGTTGGTCAGGCTGGTCTCAAACTCCTGACCTCAAATGATCCACCTGCCTCGGCCTCCTAAAGTGCTGGAGTCACCGGGCCCAGCCAGTTTTGTTCTTTTTTATGGCTTTGCAGTAAAAACATGTAATATTTCATGAATTTGCCTGTTATCCTTGCACAGTGGCCATGCCAATTTTCTCTGTAGCATTTCGGTTTTAGTGATGTGTTGCTGAAGTGAGTACTGTATGCCTTTTTCTAGAACCGTTTGTACATTAAGAAAGAGAAGGGGTTTTAATGGATGGAAAGTTTGATTGTAGAGCAACTGACTCTGATCCTTCTGTTGGTCCCTTAAAACTCAGTCCCAAAGACTAGAAGGAAAATGCTCCAACTTTCAAGGAGCAGTGGGTGAGGTGTTCCCAAAAATGGAAAGAGAAGGGGTTGTCTGTGGATAATTTGGAGTTTAAGAAAGTTTCACAGCAGATGTTTCAGTCTTTTGGTGAAGAATCTTGGCTCTTGTCTTCCCATATTCATTCTTCCTCTGGGTGGACAGCGCAGGACTGCTTTCTGGTCTCTTGCACTTTCCTGAGTTTCTGATTTCCCCTAACAGGTAGCTTCGCCCAACCTCTGCTCGTAAAACTCAGCCTTAGCCACATAGACCATTCAAATTAGAAGACAGGAGAGGTCTCTTAGTCCACCTCCTCCTTTTGCAGATGGGAAAAGTGAGTCCCAGAAAGGAAAGAATTGTCTCTGGTCTCTTGTGTCCCCAACCAACTGACCCGTGGCTACCCTTTGAGTCCTTTTTTGTCTTCTCCAACTTAGTAATCTGAAAGCAATTGTGATTGGTTATCTTGGTGAGGAAAATAATTCTTATTTTGCAACTGTACCCATATTTACAACTTTCTTCAGCCCCAAATTTATATCTCATCTTATCCCTTAGACTACCATGTGGATGGATGTCAGTTTCCTTCTACAAATATCTCTTTCTGCCCTGAGCGATCCTTAATGTCAGTTTTCCTTTGTCTCCGACTTCTTTCGAATTGTGTTTCTTCCAAATCCAAGGCAAACCCTCACACTATTCCTTCTCTAGATGGTCTTTACAGTCTTTAATTTTTTAATTCTTAGACAATTTTATTGACATTTTTATCATCATGATACCCACTATCATAGGAGTAGCTCAAGTGGATAAACTTACACAAAGGTGTGGGTCAGTTAAGCCTTTTGGCATGGAGCCACGACAATGGACATTCATGGTCCCTTCAAAATAAGCAGGCAGTCAGCCATCAGAAAAATGGATAAATGAGATTGCAAAGGTCACATTCTTCCCAGTTTTTTTTTGTTTTTGTTTTTGTTTTTTTTTTTGAGTCGGAGTTTCGCTCTTGTTACCCAGGCTGGAGTGCAATGGCGCGATCTCGGCTCACCGCAACCTCCGCCTCCTAGGTCCAGGCAATTCTCCTGCCTCAGCCTCCTGAGTAGCTGGGATTACAGGCACGCGCCACTATGCCCAGCTAATTTTTTGTATTTTTAGTAGAGACAGGGTTTCACCATTTTGACCAGGATGGTCTCTATCTCTTGACCTCGTGATCCACCCGCCTCGGCCACCCAAAGTGCTGGGATTACAGGCGTGAGCCACCGCGCCCGGCCTCTTCCCAGTTTTTAAGCTTGTGAGGAGGAATATATGTGGGGTTCTCCTGATTTTTTGAAATGCACAGAGCACCAGGCATGGTGGCTCACACCTGTAATCCCAGCACTTTGGGAGGCCAAGGCAGATGGATCACCTGAGGTTAGGAGTTGGAGACCAGCCTGGCCAACATGGCAAAACCCTGTCTCTACTAAAAACACAAAAATTAGCCAGGCGTGGTGGTGGGCACCTGTAGTCACAATTACTTGGGAGGGTGAGGCAGGAGAATTGCTTGAACCTGGGAGGCAGAGGTTGTGGTGAGCCATGATCACACCACTGCACTCCAGTCCAGGTGACAGAGTGAGACTCCATCTCAAAAAAAAAAAAAGAAAAGAAAAGAAATGCACAGAGCAGCCAATTGCACTTGAAAATTCCTATTTAGAAGTAGGCACTTCTTTTTTTTTTTTTTTTTTTTAAGACAGGGTCTCACTCTGTTGCCCAGGCTGGAATGCAGTGGCATGATCAAAGCTCACAATAGCCCCAACCTCCTGGGCTGAGGCAATCCTCCCACTTCAGCCTCCCAAGTAGGTGGGACTACAGGTACATGACATCACATCCAGCTAATTTTTTTTTTTTTTTTTTTTTTGTAGAGACAGGATTTTGCCATGTTGCCCAGGCTGGTCTTGAACTCCTGGGCTCATGCGATCCACCACCTCATCCTCCAAAGTGCTGGGATTACAGGTGTGAGCCACTGCGCCCAGCCTGAATGTAGGTACTTCTATGGGTTTACCAAGAGCACCCACTTAGCAGGCATGAAATCATGGTTCTCATCCTGGCTCTGTCCCTTACAGTTCTGTTGACTTGGGTAAGACACATGTCCTCTTTTGGCCTCAGTTTCCCTATGTATAAAATTAGGCTAGAATTGGGCTAGAGCATTTCTGTGGAAACCCTCAGCCCCAAAGCATTACAATTCTCTACTGTCTCTGTCTTCTTGACTGTCTTTCCAACTGTCTATCAACAATCTAGGGGACAAATAAGCAGAAGTGTGAATGAAAGATGTCACCAGATGGGATCCTGAGGCTTTTGTGTTAGCCCATGTCTTCTGCTTTTCCTATTTCCGACCTCTCTAAGCCAGCAAACGAGTATTACTTTATTGCGGTAATGCTTGTTACTCTAGTACATCCGACATCAGCTGGAGTTTGCTGACCTAGGAAAGGAAAATTCCAGCATTAAACTTTTCTCTCTCCTCCTCCCTGCTCATTAACATCCCACACCGACATCCTGATTCTCTTATCTTGCCCTTATACTCAGGGTGCTAAAGAGCCTCCTCTCAGACCAGTGTGTTCTAAGACCACCAGCAGCAAGTGCAGACTGTGTCCTGTAGACCAGAAAATAAACCAGGCTGTCAGAAGCCTCTCAGGAGGCCACATCCATCCATTCAGCTCTCTGTTCCCTGGGACGGGCCTAGCACACTAAGCTGCAGCCATCTCAGAACCTCCGTTATTGTGGAGAATGAGAACCAAGTATCAGGCCCAGCTAAGAAGCAGGAAGACTCAGAGCTGGGCCCTTCTCCTCTTTCCTTTCCTGCTACTGGCATCCTTTGGTGGGCTGGAGAAAAGGAGGCATTGTCCCCAGTCGTGACCTGGGAAATAACTGGCCTCCTCTCCACCCCCAGGAAACCTCCTACATCCATCTGGCTGCTGGGCTGAACAGCTAATGCCACTCCACTCTCTCCCTCCCCATTCTCCTACCCCACTGTGCAGAGAAGAGATGGGGAGGTGGTGGTTCTTGTTCCTGAAAGGGAACATTTGTCTCCCTTTCAGAGGAGGAAATGTTGGAAGGCAGTGGTGGTCTTCCTGTGGACTCCAGGCTTCACATCCTGCCTTACTTTCTCCTTCTACAAAGTGGGTCTGAAAACTCCACAGCAGCCCTCACTCCTCCTCTGTGAGAGTGATGCTGAGAGAATGAAAATAAAATCATGAACAGCTGTGTTGAAAGGGCTGCCCACCCCCTACCTTAGAATGAATGAGCCAGTGTCCTGGCTATGTATAAATATGCAGGATCGGAGCCCAAACCACCAAGATTCCCCTTCATGACTCTCCATAATAAGATAAAATGGTTCTTTGTCTCGAGTTTTGACACGTAAATTATCTCAATGATTTAAGTATTTTTACTACAATATTTTTGTGCAACACCAATTCAAACACCAGAAATTACCATTTTTAAGGTCCATTTTGGTGGACTGTAATGGAGTAACTTCCCAATATAACTACTCAGCAGGTGGTGATGACTGAAAACATTTCAGCATTGGGCCCTTTGTTCTGGCTTATCAAGATTTCCGTGCACAGAACCACACACAGTGGAAATTCGTCTCCCAGCTCCACCTTGACCCAGGCATTCTGCACTGGGAACTGGGGGGATGGGGAGGAGAGCATTCCGTTCCCCCTGCTCCATTCTGCCAGCAACTTCTTTCTTTTCAAAAATCTGAGACTCAGTTGAGCCTAAGCCCTCTCCCTAGGTCTTCGCGTTGTCAGAGCATCCAGAAAGCTGTCCTCTGCATGAACAAGGGTGTCATCCACTCAGCTACAAAGACTGCAAGACCTCCGTTTCCAGAACTGTCCTCCTTTCATAGCCTGTCCTGTTGTCAAAACACATCAGGCGACCCGCAGCTGACCTGCCGGGATCTCTGGCCTGATGGCCCAGGCTCCTAACTCTCTGAAGGGCCTGCTGTTGAGGAACACTCCCTGGCCCCTCCAGAACCCTCATTTGCTTGCCCCATGGCATCATCTGGCAGTCTGAAGCCAAATAAAACAACCACTTCTGGCCAGTTTCCTGCCCAGGTTTTTCCTAGCATTCACTGGAGTCGGAAAGGCTCCAGAAACTCCCTCGAGGTGAGCTCCATCTGAAAAGCTCCTGAGGCCCGAGCAGAGAAGTGGACTAACCGCGCTTTTCCCGCCCGGCAGGTGGTAACTGAGTCAGACTTGTACACGCACCAGCCCCTGGAGCTACTGCCCCACCGCGGAGACCGCAGGGACCCAGGCGACGGCCGCAGGTTCGGGCGGCTCCAGACCGGGAGGCCGCCCACAGCCTACCCAGCTAAAGTCCTTGCCAGACCCGGTACGTGAGTCTTCGCCCCAGATCCCCGCACCTCCCTGGGCTGGGGGACCGACTCAGAGCCACCCATACGTCCAGGTCAGGGCAGCGTTGGCGGTTGCTGCGGCCTCAGTCGAGCCAGGTGATCAAGCGTCTGTGCTTTCCCAAATAAATGCTGTTTCCACCACAAAAGCACCTACTCTCAGGCATCTCGCGTCCCTACACAACACCTTCTACCTGTAAAAGAGTCACTTCTAGGTGTGCATAATGGGTAAAGATACTCTTATCTAATCTTTTTTTTTTTTTTCTTTTTAGACAGGGTCTCACTGTGTTGCCCAGGCTGGAGTACAGTGGCAGCGATCACGGCTCACTGCCTTGGGCTCAAGCCATCCTCCGGTCTCAGCCTCCCTGGGACTACAGGCACACAGTCACCATGCCCAACTAAATTTTTTTATCTTTAAAAGATAGGGTCTTGGGAGGCCGAGGCGGGTGGATCACAAGGTCAAGAGATCGAGACCATCCTGGTCAACA